TTCTTTTTATTCTTTTCTGCAGAACCATGGGATCCAGTCTCTTTTCTGGCCTCCTCAGGTATCTACACACATATGGCACACACGTTGTAGACACTCTCACAGACAAAAATTAAAATAAATATTTTCTAAAAAGGAATGCTAAATCTGGAGGTTGGAGAGATGGCTCAGCAATTATGTCCTCTTCTGGCCTCTTGGAGTACCTGCACACATGTGGTGTACACACACACACACACACACACACACAGAGAGAGAGAGAGAGACAGACAGACAGACAGACAGAGACAGAGACAGAGATTAAATAAATAAATCTTTAAAACAATGCAAGAAATATGGATGATCACATCCAGGTTACAGAAAGGAACATCTGAGGGATGAGACAGAGGGACAAGGACTTGTCCTCATCAGAGAGTCTTAGTACCTACATGTTTGGGCCTTCAGTATGTGTGCATGATCACATGACAGGACAGAGTTGATGCTTTCCAGAAAAACTTGTCCTCATCAGAGAGTCTTAGTACCTACATGTTTGGGCCTTCAGTACGTGTGCATGATCACATGACAGGACATAGTTGATGCTTTCCAGAAGAAAAAAGAGAGGTGAGTCTAGATATTTTCTAAAAGTAGATTCACAGCAATGGGCACAGCAGCTCTCTGCCTCTGATCCTCCCATATGCCTCTGCCTACATGCCCTCTGCTGCCAGGGGTTTGCTCTGACATTCCTGTCTTCCTGTCTCTTCCTCATGCCTCCATTACAGCTGAAAATGGCCCGGAAACTTACTTCCTTCTTGTTCACTTACTGCCTGGTTTCTCTATCAAGCAACAACCTTCAGGCAACACACCTGCCTTTTTCCCTAATGAATTCCCAACACACAGCATGGTGCCTGACATTTTTAAAGGCCTCAATAACTTGCTGTTAAATAATAAATACATAAGATCATCAATTAAAACTGTGTTCACTCTTGCACAGGTGCCATGTTAATCTTCTTTGTATTGTTTAAGTTTTAGCATATGTGCTGTCAAAGTGAGCACAGGACAGCTAGGACACAATACAGAGAAACTGTGTTCACTCTTGACAGGAGCTCTGAAGTATTGATCAGATCCAGTGGAATGAGGTACTCCATATCAGGTAGACGGTGCCTATCAATCCTGTCACTTCACCATCTACACCTGGAGTCTGTCATCTCTGGTACTGGTTCCAACATGGCCATGTCAATATGACATCTTACCTACAGGACTTCGTAATGTTCTGCATGCAGCCAAAGCTCTGATAAGACTTCTCCAGCCTGCAGTGTGAGCTCAGCACTGATAAGTGCTGCGTAGTTGACCTTGACTCTCTATCTCCCATTAACTTAACCCTGACATTACTAAATCAAGAAATCCCACTAGCAAGACCTAAAACAGAAGAATTTCTCAGGAAAGCATCTCAAACGCATGCCAGAAGCTTTATGTTTCTACTTTAAGTCCTTTTGTTATTTCATTTCTGTCCCCTGCCTGAAGGGCATCTGTCCACAGATCTAACACACACAGCACAGCTAAGTCAGTCAGATAAATTGAGTTTACAGAGGGCTTCAATCAGTGTCTGAAATCACCAAAACCACACACATACATACACACAACACACACATAACACACTGCACACACACACACTACCTACACACATACCTCACACATATACACCGTACACCACACATACCACACACACTACACACATACACACACACACACACACATACACACACACACACACACACACACACAAACAGCAACCCACATATGTTATTGTTGAGCTTAGAGAAGCAGACTGAGAAAAAAAGCAAAAGCAGATTTTTAATTTTTTATAAGTTGCTAGGGAACAATTTGGTTTCAAACAATGCATTTTGGGGCTCAGAGAAGTTTTCAGGCTTCGGGCTTTTTAACAGTTCTTTCATCTTTAAATCATGTTAACCACCACCCCAGGCTTTGAGCATTGATTTTCACTTGTAATTTAGCAAATAATAAACAAGGTGGTGAAATCATGGCCAATGTGTCGCCATGGCTCCAGGTTCATGGCTGGCACTGCACACCCATCACACCTTAATTTTCTAATTAAGCTCCACATGCAATTAGCATCAACCAAACAGAAATGGCTACTTAAGATCCAAACTGCATGTCTGAAGGAACAAACTTTTTATGTTACCAAGTGACACTTGCAGGGATCTTTTGAAATCCCCCCTCATCACTGACTGCCACTGGGGCATGACTTTCCCACAGAGACCTAGGAAATACCTGACTGCCCAAGCCATTCTCTCATCACTTGGAGCACTTGAGGACACCTCAGGGCATCATTTGAGGACACCTCAGGACATACCTAACCACAGGGAAAGCAGAGACTCCTTGAAGCTTTGGTCCTTGGAGTCTGGGGCGAGGATTTACTTACAACTAGAAGACAGTCTCACAATTGTTGTTATTCATGTGTGCAGCTGGACCTCAAAACACTCTGAATATAGAGAAGTGACTAGATAGTGTGCAGTCTCTGTCTTCTGAGCATGCAACTGTGGCAACCATGCATAGCTCCCCAAGAGCACACAGGACACCTTCCCCTTCACAGTGATGCAGCCATCAGGTACTAACATAGGAAATCTCTTTGCACAGGATTTTTTGATCTCCTGAACATATGTAAGTTAGGTGAGAAAACTGTGTCCCAACAAGTCCTTATACAGTCCAAAAGTAGAAATTTCCTCCACAATTCACAAAGGATGGCATGACCCCAGGAACATATCCGTTCTATGAATGTGTTTGAGTGGCTTATTTGTTGGTTTGTTGGCTAGCTGACTGGCACAGATTTCCCATAAAAATAAGAAAATAAAAAAGATTTTGGCCACCTGGGTCTACACTCCCATCCAGCAAGCAGTGGCCAGAATGAGCTCCTCTAACTAGATTGTGTATCTTCCATTTGACCTCAGTGCCTACGCTTCCTCATCGGCATAGACCAACCAGTCTCTCCTGTTGTCGCCTTACCTGCCGATGTACGGGTGAGAAGCTTCATCTGAGGTTTTAAATGTGTCACATTTAAATGTGCATACTCCCATTTGTGCCACTTCAAAATAAATACTTTAAAATGAAACACAGCATGCTGAAGAGAGGGCTCAGTCCCCTCTTCTCCAGGGGTTTTGGGTTCAATTCCCATCGCCCACATGGCCACTCACAACCATCAATAACTCTACCTCTAGGGGATCCAGTGCCTTCTTTTGGCCATTGAGGGCAGCAGGCATGCATGTGGTACACAGACATACATGTAGGCAAATCATTCATATGTCTTTTTTTTTTTTTTTTGAAACTCAAACACTTAATCAACTTTGGTTCTTAGAAACCCACAGCAGAGTATTCCCTGTCAGCTTCCTGCTTCCACAGATCTCAGCAGCCATTGCAAGCCAGGGCTACTGACATCGTGGCTCTCTAGATCTCCTCAGCTAAACCTGAGCTGCTCTCTCCGACAGAAACAGAGACAGGCTCCAGAGCACCCTGGCTCACAGAACAGAATGACTTTGTAAAGTCTGAGGGAGGAAAGCTATGGGTCATTGTGCCGCAGAGACAGCAGATTAGATATGCATCCAGTAGTAGATGAGAATGGAGCAGGGAAGCCAGTGTTCTAAGAAAGGAAGTCACAGTACGATCTAGGGCTACATACCACTTACATAAATCCAAGTGCACATCAGACAAGGATGCAGACAAAATAAAGGACATATGGAAATCCCCTGGACATTTCCCAATTGGCGACAGAAAGGAAAAACAAAAACAAAAACAAAAGAAAAAAACACAAAAAACATGATGAAGCATGTCCCTATGACAGGATACACAGACATACATGTAGGCAAATCATTCATATGTCTTTTTTTTTTTTTGAAACTCAAACACTTCTTAATCAACTTTGGTTCTTAGAAACCCACAGCAGAGCATTCCCTGTCAGCGTCCTGCTTCCACAGATCTCAGCAGCCATTGCAAGCCAGGGCTACTGACATCGTGGCTCTCTAGATCTCCTCAGCTAAACCTGAGCTGCTCTCTCCGACAGAAACAGAGACAGGCTCCAGAGCACCCTGGCTCACAGAACAGAATGACTTTGTAAAGTCTGAGGGAGGAAAGCTATGGGTCATTGTGCCGCAGAGACAGCAGATTAGATATGCATCCAGTAGTAGATGAGAATGGAGCAGGGAAGCCAGTGTTCTAAGAAAGGAAGTCACAGTACGATCTAGGGCTACATACCACTTACATAAATCCAAGTGCACATCAGACAAGGATGCAGACAAAATAAAGGACATATGGAAATCCCTTGGACATTTCCCAATTGGCGACAGAAAGGAAAAACAAAAAACAAAAAAAAACACAAAAAAACATGATGAAGCATGTCCCTATGACAGGGACACTGCTAAGGGTAACTCAAAACTGCACCTGGGACCCAACTATGGACAGGATTAAAAGTAAACAATAACAAAACAGTAAAACCAAACTTGAACCTCAGGAAGCCCGACCCATTGTGGCTCTACCCACTGTGGCTCCACCCACTACAGCTCCGCTCACTGTGGCTCTGCTCACTGCTGCACTCAGGAAATTCTGCCTACTGTGGCTCCACCCACTGCGGTTCCCCACTGCGGCTCTGCCCTCTGCTGCAAAAACTCTGAAGGAAAGGAAGAAAGAAAGAATCAATGGCTCCCTTTGCAGTCCTTTTTTTGGCAAATGAAAGTCACAAGACAGAGCAGGGCATGACCTCCTGAAAGTACCCAGATATATTATCTAAAGGTCACAAAACTGAATCACTAATCTGCTATGCTACCAGACCCCCAAAGTTGGATAGAGGCAGTTAGGACGGCTCTTGCCCTCCCTGTGCCCCATGTATATTCTACGTGGCTGGCCGGCCATCGATTTTGGTCACGTGTGTCATTGCTAATAGCGCTGCTTGATCGCCCCACCCTAAGTTACAACTTTTTTCACCTAAATACTGACTCTATCCCTAAATAATGTGTCTGAAGTCATGGCTTTGGCGAGCTAGTTTTATTTTTATTTCCTTAATAAACATTAAAATAATTTTTTACATTAAAAAATTTTTTTACATTAAAATAAATTTAAAACTTTAAAAAATGTACAGGGCCACCTAAGCTAAATCAAGTTGTCTAGTGTATTTGTTATGGTTAATGCTTAGTATTAAATATATGAAAAGTAGATCAGGGCTCAAACATAGCATGGCCATCTGGCTCTGGTGGACAGGTGAGCCAGGCAAATCAGCTTCCTTCACAAAGCCCCGTCACTGTTACTGTAGTATATGGCTACCTGGGTGGTCCAAGGACAAATCAGAAAACAGCATGCTGGGAGTGTCACACTAAGGTCTGGAAGGGTGCCCATCATGGCCACTCAGATTTCCTGGTTATGATTCAGCCATGGTCACCATCCATTACATATAGACATATTGCTCACTGGTGTCTGAGCATCAGGGCTGGGAAGCTAGTTTTACATTCATAATTTAGCATGGTGCTTGGCACAGTGATTCTAAGACAGAATTCTTTGAGTGGTAGACAGAATCCTGAGCCTTTCCCAACTAAACTCCAACAAACAGCAAAGAGGACACTGATGTCTCCTGTGGCTACCAGAGGCAACAGAGCCAGGAGGAGCACTAGACTGTCTCCTGGGGAACAAGTGTCTCTTAAGCCAAAGCAAAATTAAGAAACATTATCACAGATAACACCCTAAAAAACACACAGGTGGGGGGGGTGTGCTAGCAATTTTTTGCTGAGCAGGGAAAGAAGTTAAGGAAACTTCCAGAAGGCTAGGAAACAAATACACCCCTTGGTCTACATGGAAGTACAGAGGCAAACTGATTTAGAATACAAAAGACATTGAAAACAACACACTACACAATTAAAACTCAGAATGACAGACAGGAAGGGGAATGGCTATCTCCTAAGTCACTGAGTCTAGAGGAGAAAACTATTACACAATAAACTTTCAAACAGTATCCTGGGGAGAGGCAAACACAAATAATTTATGAAATGGAAAAATAA